CTCACTCACACACACACACTCACTCACACACACACACACACACACACACACACACACACTCACTCAATCACACACACACTCACTCACACACACAGATACATACACGCACACACACTCACTCACTCACACACACTCACGTATACACACACACACACACTCACTCACTCACGTACACACACACACACAGTCTTCAGAAATGAACTGTTTTCTCGGGTCAGGACGCAGTTCGCCATCAGCCGCTTGCGCCGATGTGAAAACCACAGTGGCGTTTATATCCTGCGGTGCAGCCCGAGAGATTACGACCGGTACTTCCTGTCCTTCGTGGTTGAGGTGAGTGTGTTTATGGGGATTATATCACAGGCCAGAGGATGTCTTTATTTCGTTCAATCCCCAGCAGCAATTAACTTTCAGCTCAGTGTGTGTATCTGTGTGTGTCTCTGTGTGTGTGAGTCTCTCTGTGTTTGTGTGTGTGTGTCTATGTGTATCTGTGTGTGTGTGTGAGTCTCTGTCTCTCTGTGTGTAAGTGTGTGTTTGTGTGTGCGTGTATGTCTCTGTGTGTGTGTTTGTCTGTGTGTGTGTGTGTGTGTGTGTGAGTCTCTGTCTCTGTGTGTGTGTGTGTGTGTGTGTGTGTCTGCAGTTTGAGGGTCAGCTGGAGTTTAAGCACTGTCTGGTCGTTCTCTCTCTCTCGGGAGAGTTTGTGCTCAACGGAGCCAAATGCAGCTTCAGCAGTCTGGGTGAATTACTGCAGCACTACCAGAAGGAGGCGCTGCGCTCCGACAGACACGTGTTCCAGTTCAGCCGCCGCTGTCCGCCGCGCAGCAAAGGTCAGACGCGGATCTCTGCTTCAGATCAGACGCTCCGGCGGAACTGTGTGAGTGACGTGTGTTTGTGTCTGTAGATAAATCCAATCTGCTGGTGCGCAGGAACAGCCAAACCTCTGACGCGTGTCTCTCGCCTTCTGAACTCAAACACATCAACCAGATGATCTTCCACAAGATCCGTAAAGAGGATCTGGAGACGGTGAGTCTGAACACACAGATCACGCCAGCTACACTCACACTCTCTGCCCAAATCACATTATTTGTGTATCCTTTGATAAGATTGGAATCTTATCTGAATGATTGATCGTCTGCACTGTATCACAACTGTTCAGAGTGTTTCTTTCATCTTCTATAGCAGTGATGTTGCATTGAGGGGAAGTCGTGGCCTAATGGTTAGAGAGTCGGACTCATAACCCAAAGGTTGTGGGTTCGAGTCTCGTACCGGCAGGGATTGTAGGTGGGGGGAGTGAATGTACAGCGCTCTCTCCCACCTTCAATACCACGACTGAGGTGCCCTTGAGCAAGGCACCGAACCCCCAACTGCTCCCCGGGCGCCGCAGCATAAATGGCTGCCCACTGCTCCGGGTGTGTGTTCACTGCTGTGTGTGTGCACTTTGGATGGGATAAATGCAGAGCACTAATTCCGAGTATGGGTCACCATACTTGGCCACATGTCACGTCACTTTATATACAGTACTGTGCAAAAGGATTTCATGTGCTTTTTTTCTCCAATCACACTTGCTAAATATGATTGGATTCCAATTGGTCTGTCATACCTGGATATGGAAGTGCAGGTGCATCTCTTTCTGATGACGTTCCTGTAATGTTTTCTTGGCGTTCAGAGGGAGAGTTTGGGTCAGGGTGCGTTCACGCAGGTCTTCCGCGGCGTCCGGAGGGAGCTCGGAGATTACGGAGAGATCCACAAGATGGACGTGGTACTCAAAATCCTGGATAAAACCCACCGCAACTACACTGAGGTACTGTGGGAAAAACCCACGCGTCTTTGTCTTTCTCTTCATGAGTCTGATCAGCGCGGGGCATCATGGTTTCTCTCTCTGACAGTCGTTCTTCGAGTCGGCGAGCATGATGAGCCAGCTATCCCACAAACACCTGCTGCTCAACTACGGTGTCTGTGTGTGCTCTGATGAGCGTGAGTATCACACACACACACACACACACACACTCACAGACACACACACCCACACACCCACACACACACACAC